TGATGTGGAACACAGAATGTCCCCTGCTTTGTATATATATATATATGTAATAATATAGGGAATTGTGAAATCCTGAAGCTGTGAGAGCATTGCATGTTTTTATGTATGAAGTTCTGAAATCCTGAACTAATGTGTGCCTAGCATCGCTTGTATTTCTGAGTGAATTTGGAACATCCTTAGTTGGTGTGGAAGATGTCACTTTTTTGCTATCGTATATGAAGGTCAGACTTTGTGAATGGACGTATGGACATGTCGTGTATCTCTTGCCTTGTTTGTGTGAGGTCAGACATTGTGAATGGACGTACGGACAACTGTATCTCTTGCCTTGTTTGTGTGGGAAGGTCAGACCTTGTGAATGGACGTACGGACAACTGTATCTCTTGCCTTGTTTGTGTGGGAAGGTCAGACCTTGTGAATGGACGTACGGACTACTGTATCTCATGCCTTGTTTGTGTGGGAAGGTCAGACATTGTGAATGGACGTACGGACAACTGTATCTCTTGCCTTGTTTGTGTGGGAAGGTCTGAAGTGGAGCGTGATGTGGACACCGCGTGGCTTGTGTGTACAGATGAAGTTCCAAAGTTGGAGCGGATGTGAATGTACCTCTAGTTGTTTGTGTTTCTGTATGAAGTTCAGAAGATCTGAGCGGATGGGAACACATCTGACCTGCCATAGTTGTCTGTGCTCCACCTTGTTCATGCAGTCTTTCCTCTTGCACGTCTTTTTCTACTGTGGAGTTTTGGCTTTTTCTTTCTTTTCTTTCTTTTTTTTTTTTATTTTGCTTTTTTTCTGCTTTGCATGTTCCCCAGATTTTCTTATTTACTCCCAAATGATGGAGTTTGTGTTCAGTTTTCCCAACCTGGGTGTTGCAGGTGTCATGTTGATGGCGCAGCACGGTTGATGCTGCGTACCTTGATGCTCTGTGCCGTTTACATAGTCGTTTTTGTGCCATAAGCTGCGTCCATTTTTGGGTTTGTTTGTTTTTATTTTGGTTGTAGGGGAAGAGAAAGCTTTGTTTGATACACAGACACATTTATAGAAATAGATAGATAGATACTCCATGGTGTTCGCTCGCAGTGGTGTTCGCTCGCACGTCTGTCTCATGAGAACCTACTTGGAACTGTCGCCTGTTCTCACTTCTGCAAGAGTTAGTGACATGGAGGGGACGACATTCTGTGACAGTGACATTCTGTGACAGTGACATTCTGTGACAGTGACATTCTGTGACAGTGACATTCTGTGACATGGAGGGGACGACATTCTGTGACAGTGACATTCTGTGACTGTGACATTCTGTGACTGTGACATTCTGTGACTGTAGAGAGTGACGTTCTGTGACTTTAGAGTGACATTCTGTGACTGTGACATTCTGTGACAGTGACATTCTGTGACTGGAGAGTGACATTCTGTGACTGGAGAGTGACATTCTGTGACTGTGACATTCTGTGACAGTGACATTCTTTGACTGTGACATTTTTTGACCGTGACATTCTGTGACTGTAGAGTGACATTCTGTGACTGTGACATTCTCTGACTGTAGAGTGACATTCTGTGATTGTGACATTCTGTGACTGTAGAGTGACATTCTGTGACTGTAGAGTGACATTCTGTGACTGTGACATTCTGTGACTGTAGAGTGACATTCTGTGACAGTGACATTCTGTAGCACAAGGACGTGAGGTGTCTGGAAACTATGCCATTATTAATATATTGTTGTTGATTCAAAGTATTATTTAGTCATTCATCTTTGTCATTATTGTGATTATAATAATTATTATCACAGTTAACTATTATTATTTTTATTATTAATAATAATATTTTAAACAATGATTCTTTTTCTTATTGTATTATTGATTCCGTATTTCTATCAATTTCATAATTGTCCTAATTGTTACTGGTTTTATAGTTGTATGTAAAAAAAGAAGGAATTCTTTTCTCCTTTCACTGGCACCGTCTGTTCAGCATATGGGACATGTGAGGGGGACACGATAAATAGAGGGACATGTGAGGGGGACACGATAAATAGAGGGACATGTGAGGGGGACACGATAAATAGAGGGACATGTGAGAGGGACACGATAAATAGAGGGACATGTGAGAGGGACACGATAAATAGAGGGACATGTGAGGGGGACACTGTTGTTGATTGAAGAACACTCAACAACATTTTACTTGATTGACACACTGTGGAACAGGGAGTCCTGACATAGGGGGTGGTTGGGGGGAGGGCATGGAAAGTAAGCCAGTCAGGAATTCTGTT